CCTTCTCTTCCTCTGTTGCCTCCTCTGTTCGTCTCTCTATTTCCTTCCTTATCTGGCTCCCCCCCACGCCCTCGTACTGATCAGGTAAGAGCAGTCAGGGCTCTTGCTGCTGTTCTCTGGTTGTCACCACCCCACAATATAAATAACTTCAGCCAAGCCTTAAAGGGGAAATATTATTACAAGCACCTAACAAGGCAGAACAAGCACACGCCACTGCTATATCAGAAGAAAGAGCCCACGCTTCCCTTGGCTTGCAGCTGGGGTGTCCCCATCCTGTCTTACACAGCCACCTGGGGACTGGGGGCAGTGAGAGGCCAAGCCGTAGTGCTGGTAGAGGGGTTTTGCAACTACTCTACCCTGGCCCCTTGGCCATACCCTGCTGCCAGTGTCTCTTGCTAGTCCCAGCCTGGCCCCACAGTTCTGCCAATGCTCCCTTCTGCTATTCCAGCCTTGCCTGCTCTGTCGCTCAGGCCTGCCAATACCTCTCAACAGCTATCAGCAGCATTCCCTGGCTCTGTCCTTCACTCCCCGCTCTACAGCCCCTCTGCTAAGCCAAAACTGGTCCTCCCCTGTGTTTGTACAGCACCTAGCACAGCAGGCTCCCAGGCCCCAGCTTGGCCAGCCTCGAGGCCCTGTTGGAACAGCTCTAGCAATGCTCCTCACTCTTCATCTGCAACCTTGCCAGCTAGCCCAGCCCTGAGATTGTCCCCTTCTGATTGCAGCTACTTTGCTTTGTCAGCACAGAGCCCCTGGTGTGCACCTGCGGGATGGTGAGAGCAGTGGAGCAAGGGAAGCCTGCTTCCTGTGGGGCTGTGTGACCCTGTAGGTAGGGAGTTGGCAGCCTTGGCCGCTTGCATTGGGGTAAAGTGCAGAGCAACACCTCCTACATGCAGCTGCCTGAAGCTCAGCTGTAGCAAGGGACCACAGAGCTGCCTGCACTATGTTTCCAGGCATAGCAGGCTGCCTAGCACTGAGCTCTGCGACTGCTCTCAGTGCCTTCCTGCCTGCAGAACCTGAGCTTGCAGGGACACAGGGCAGCTGAAGCCCTGCTCTGCACTACAAACCAGCTCTTACCAGCTATAGGGTGTCAGACTGGGGTTTTCTTTCTTAGCTGCAAAGAATCAAATATTGCCTCCCCCTAACCCCTGCCAAATGCACCCAAATTTAGCCTTTTCTGGCATTCTAGTAGCAAAGGGAGGTGCTGTGGCTAGGTTGCAGGGTGAGCGGGGGAACTAGCACAAAAGCCAAGACGGGAAGTGGTCAGCACTTGTGCGCGCTAGGCAGCATGCTCGTTGCAATGGTAAGCAAGAGGGCAGGAAAACTGGCCTATATGCCTCAGCTCCTCCCCCCGCAACCCCCCCCCATACACACCAGCACACTGAAAAAACCCAAACTATTCCATACCACTGTTTCTCAGCACCATGTGGTCTCTTGCGCTCTCAAGGCAGGGGAAAGGGCATCAACCACATTTTCCAGGCAGGGACACAGAGGCTACCTGGGATGACCATAGGGGGTTGGGATCATAACTCAGGTCTCCCCACATGCAAGCCAGCATCCTGCCCCTGGGACCATGCGTGGCCCCCAGGCCTAGAACTGGGCTTACGTAAAGCCTACAGCTAATGATAATGGCCAAGGATGCCGAGTTCTGTGGACTCCAGGGTCACGTGCTGTAGCCAGGACCTTGGTGTTGGAGGACTCCTTGCAAAGCCTGCCCTCAGTTTACCTACCTCTGTGAAACAAAGGGCTGAGCCAGCTTGGCTGGGCCCATCCAAACCCAGAGCTCCAGGCTGGGCATTTCCAAGATGAGAGTTGGATCCTCAGCTAGCCTTCCCCACCTGCTGTGCTGAGGTTTCCTTTTCTCTCAAACAGGGTCAGTGCAGAGCTGCATGGTACCACCGTGACTGTCTTCTCATGAGCTCTCAGCCAGAATCCATATGAAGGAAACCCAGAGCGCAATCAGACATCTCCAGATTCAGTGCCCCCCAGGAACCATACAGAGCAAGGGGAGAAGAGCAGAGGGCAGTAGAAAGGAAGTACGCAGTAAATACAAGCTGGTCCCAGAACCCGTTTAACACAACCAGATCTTATTGTCACTCGCAGCCTAGGAGCAGGACTCCAAATAATTTACAGCATAGGCTTGGGAGGGGGGATTTGGATATTGTTTTTTTAATAGGAGTTTCTAGCAGCAGACAGACCTTACACCAACTACAACTCCTGTCTTGCAAGGAAAACCAGGGCCGTTTTCACTGCTGAAAGTGACCCATTCAACCCCTGCATACCATAGCTTGCTATATCCAAGATAAGTTCCTCCCCAGGCCCAGCCAACCCATAGGGCCTTGCAGCACAGCAGGTCAGGGGAAAGAATTCTGGTAGTGAGTGCAGAGGTTCCAGAGAAAGCCCCAAAGGAAGAAGTTGGCACTGAAGCACGTATGTAGCAGAGCTACCTGGTTGCAAACTGTGTGTACCATATGGATGGGAGCAGGGAAGAGGCCTCAGCCTTCATGTCTGGTCCCTGCAGCAGAACCAAAGTCACCCTTCCCCTGCAGCAATGCCTGGCCCTGGCTCCTGCTGCAGTCCCCCTCCATTGCAGGAGGCAGTTAACACCCTAACAAGCCTGGGAGTAACTAACACACCGAAACAGGAATTGAGTAGACACTAGGGGACTTCCAGGCCCCGCAGGAATAGCTATTCTTCCCGCTCATGAGAGCTAGTGGAATGCAGGTCACGGCAGTACAGAAAGCCTTGACTTTGGCTTCTCGTGTGCTGGTGCTATGCTCCATCTCGCCTGTGAATTGAACGGAGGAAGGGGCCCAAGCTTCACAGGCTGAGGTAACACCTACTTGAATGAGACAGGGCAAGTTTGGGTCTGTGGGCAAAACTGTCACATACACAAAGCAGCTGGAAGGCAGTGTCTAGCCCTTTACCTTCCAATAAGGGTTTTGTGCCTTTGGATCAGTTTACAGGTCATGGGACCATCTCCCTCACACTAGTACCACTTCCTCTTTGGACTTAGCACACTTAAGACAACCCCCACCCCCACCCCCACCCAGAAGGGGATGGAAATGTCTCCTCAGCACCAACAAGAGGCACCCACAGCGGGGGGGGGGGAAGAGGCAGTAGGGACACTGCCAAACAGAGGAGTTCCCAGACACACTATCCAGACAGGCTCTCACCCAGGCACAGACATGAGGAAAGAACTCTTTATTTCCCATAAATACAGATTTCGCGCCGGGCGGTTTTCTTTAAATCCTTTTCCATTTATAGAATTTGCACTGAAAATATATACAAGTCAGTTCTAGAACCAAGCAAGATCTGCAAAGAAAATCCATACAAAACCCTGAAAGAGACCAAAAAAGAAAAATAAGACACAGCAGAGGCCCAGTTCAGGGACCTTCCCTCCAATCATGGGGTTCAGAGGCTTCCCCCAGGGCACAGTACAATGGCACCAGCTGGTCTCTGTAGCATCCAGGCAAGGCCTCCATCCATGCTCTCTTTCTCCAAGCCCTTTCTAGGGAGAGGGTTTTCTCATGATTCAAACCACTGTGCTCAGATGCAGCCATCCTAGAGTTCAGAGCCCAGGAGGTTCCTGGGCAGGGGTAGAGGCATCACTATAGCCTGCAAGCTGGTCAGCAACGTAGTGATAGTGAAGGGTACAGCTTTGCAGTTGGGCTGTTGCTACCCTTATTGTACCAGCATTATGTTCCAGCAGATACCAGTTGTGTCACAGTGATTGAGCTGCTGGAGTCCCCAAAGCTGGGAGAAAAGCCTGCTCTCATACAGCTGGAATCTCTACCAGGAACAGTGCCGTCTCCCCCAAGGAAGCCCTGGAGGAGCTAGGGCCCCTTATCAGTAAGCAACCCCAGGCCAGTTCTGTAGAGACCAGCATAGAGAAATGCCCACCCGCTAACCCCAGTACAATAAAAATAGGGATTGCAGGGAAGCAGGATCCCCCTTCTCATTGCCCAGGTGCTCCTCCTGGTGGTGACCTCAGTGACAGACGGTCTCATCTACTGGCCTTTTGGTTCACCTGGGTGGGGACAATGAAGTGAAAGAACCAAGAAAACCCCAAACAGAAGTTCAGTTAGTGGGCTAAGTGCGTGAACTCCTTTGCATATCAGGTTCCTGCAAGGGGTGGGGAGGGAAGGCTGGAGCAGCAAAATCCTCCTCCAAGGGTTACAGAAGGCCACATGTCCCTTACCTACCTCTGTGCCTGGCAGGCCCCAGCCAGGCCTTCTCACAGAAGGCATCTTGGCCCATAGACACAGGGCTTGCTATGGATCCTCACTTCTTGTGGCAGCAGGACAGCCCCTTCCTCAATTCAGTGCCAGGATCCAGGTCCCAGCCTACAGGTCACTAAGCTGAAGCACTAAACCACCACACTGGTCCTCTGGCTCTTCACTACACACCCCCAAACAGCTCTGGCCATGAAGTCAGAGCAAAGAAACCCAGCAGACCTCCGCTGCCCCAGGAATGGATGTCTACTTTCCAGCAAAGCAGGTCAGTATCCTCAGCTTCACCCAGGCCCTGTTCAGTCTTGGTCTGTGCCCGCTTCTCAGCGTGTCACAGGCATAGAATCATGACAGGAACCAGAATAGAAGATTAGGGCACAGCTGCAGGAGGGAGCTCCCTAAGCTGTGGACCAGGTGAGTTAGTTTGCTGTCAACCAGGGAGCAGGAAGCAGCTCAGGGGAGGGAGCAATGCAAAACACCCCATGCACCCACACCAGGAAAAGAGTAGGTCCTTGGCTCTGTGGTCAGGCTGGGGCTTGCTGCGCTACCCTGTGCTGATCCCAGCTCCACTCTTGCAGAAAGGGAAGTGGGGTTAGGACAGGAACAGGCTGTAGAGCCAGAGCAGCTTTGCCTTGCCTCCCTTTGGCTCCAAGCCCTCCCACCATCCTTCACGTGCTCTCCGGCCCCAGCCCTTCACAATCCAGTGCCAGAGCAGGAGAGCAGCAGCATCAGCTGAATACCAGCCCCAGATGAGGCCCCTGCCATCCTGAGGGGAACTGGAGCAGGGCACCAAAGAGCCACCAGGATTCAGAAGCAGCCCACAGGCTGTAGGACCTAGAGGTTCCCCCAGGACTCTGGAGGGGGGAACTGGTCCACATCCCCCATCTCGTTGTAAGTCTGCTCCCCCATGGTGAAGGTCAACTTGTATCGTAGCCTCACTTTCTCCTAGGAAGGAGAGAGACAGGAAATGTGGTCAAGAGATGTGTTGGAGACCATAGTTTATGAGAGAAGCAGAGGACTCCCCATCCCCAAGGCACAGCGTGGTAGGGAGAGTGGGAGCAAGCATGGGGAAAGGAAACGAGAACAGCTCTAGTCTGAGTATCATTGGCAGGCCCAGCCATGGGGAAGGCCTGTGTTTGGCAGGGAGGCACTATTACCTTCTGTGGGTTCGCAAGCAGCAGGACTTGGGTGATGGCAGTTGGGTGGACGATGGGGTTAAATGCTGGGAGCTCTGTCCCTGAGGGAGGCTGCAGCTTGACTTTCATCACCTGTGGGATCATGAGATCTCTCAAGTAGCAGCAAGTAGTTTTGTGCCCCCATGAGGGGCAGGTACCCTCCTCCTTCTAGCTCTTGCGTGGGATCCTGCTCTCTCCTCCCCTCAGGAAGATGCCCTGGCTCCCCAGAGGGCACTCAGCCACTTGGCTATGCAAAAGCCAGGAGGTGGTTCTTGTTGTCCCACTGGTCTTGGACTCCCCAGGAAAGGAACACACATCCCACCCCCACATTCTACAGAACTGAGGTGAAATGACTTGCCCACAGACACCCAGCAGAGGTCAGTGGCAGAGCTGGGAACAGGACTCAGGCCTCCTGCCCTCCCCCTCCCCAAGTCTGTAGCATTCTTCTATAGCCCAGAGCAGTTATTTTCAACCAGGGTGCCATCCTTTGAAGGGGGCTGTGGGGCAAGAAGGGATAAGTATAAGCTAAGGCTTGCCCCTGCCTGGCCCCCCATCCCCACTGTCCTTTCCCTTTTCAAAGGCACACACTGCAATATATGCATTACTTCTGAAATTACATGCCACCCAACTCACAAAAGTTATGGAGGGGTGCCAAGTCCAAAAGGTTGAGAATCACTGTCCTAGACAGAGTGCAGCTGTTAGTTGTGGGCATGTGGTAAGAGGAACAACCCTCCCAGGCTCCACTTGGAGCTCTGCCTCTTCCCAATCCTATCTGCCAAAGGCAACTGGAGGGGAGCACGTGGGGGTGTGGGTATCAGGCCCCTCTGCCCCAGAACTGCTGGCCAACAAGATCCCTTGGTACTGGGGAGGGCCCTTACCTTGGGGACAGCTGACTGAAAGACAATGTTGCAGATAGGGAGCGGGGCTGTGCTGAGCATGGAGATCACCACCACCAGCACGTCGGGCCGCTCAGGCAGGGAGTCACGGGCGAAGTGGAAGAGGACACGGAAGCCATGCTGGTCATAGACCGTGACAGGGAGGATGCTGCCTGCACAGTGGCGGAGGGGAGCAGAGTCAGTAGGACCAGAGAAAGAAGCCCTCAAATGGAGCTTCTGCCCAGATGAGGGGGTGGAAGAACCCACTCCCTGATGCCCAGTGATGAGGAGAAATCTTCTGGACCCTTCTCCAGGCACTCACTTGGCTTGATCGACTCCAGAGGCACCGTGATATTAGCCAGCGAGATCTCCTGGGGTGACATAGCAGCAGGGGGCCCCACCAGGGCAGCAGCAGGGACAGCTCCAGTTGGCATGACAGCGGTTGTTGGGAGCGAGGTGGAGGGAGGCTGCTCCAAGGGAGAGGGCTGGGTGGTGGCAGGGCTCAGGGAGATGTTGCCGAGCAGGGCTGGAGTGCCCGTGATCTTTACTGAGGCACCAGAGCTGCTCTTGTTCTGGAGATCCCGCAAGGTGAGTCGTGGGGGTGGCTGCTTCTCCCTGGGGACAGAAGGGATGAGGCTGTAGGAACAAGTGTGCCAGACAGGGCTCAGGAAGGGTGGGAGGAATCTCACCCAGAAATTCTTCTAGGTGGAGTAGGCACACAAGAACCCTTTTTGTTCCTACAACATCTTACCACCGGACTTGCTGAGACTCTGGAGGCAGTGACTGTTGTAACAGAGTTTTCCCCAGCAGGTCCAGGTCATCCAGACCACTGGTGGCAGAAGAAGACTTTCGTGCAGGATCTCCCACATCTGCTCGGGTTGCTGAAGCAGCCGTGTTGGAGGGGATGCCAAGCTCACTGCTGTCTGATGACTGCAAGGATGACGAGAGGGCAGCCTGTAGGGGCTGGACCTAATGGCTGAGCCCTCCTGTCTCCAGGGCACTGACCTCATCACCCAATGCAACCATGAACTCTGGGTATGTCCTCCCCCAAGCCCAGACAGTGATGGGACCTCCCCCACCCACTCACTGCTCCAAACCCCTTACCTGAAAACTGTTCCAGCCACTGCTGCCCATGCCCTGTGCAGAGGGGGGTGGTGGGTCATTCAGCCCTGGAGAGGAGAAGGGAAGAAGTCATAAAAGGGCCCTGCTGGTAACAGGGGGAAAGGGTGTATTCACAAACAGCTTGACCAGGGCAGGGAGGTAAGGGGCAGGAGATTCAGGAGGGCTGTCCTTCGGAAGGAACACACTGGTGCCACCAGACTTCTATAGTACCAAGATGAATATGAAGAAAAAAGTCTCTTGAGCACATTTCAATGGCATAAAAGCCTGAGTTCCTGTTGAAGATGGTAAAAATACTGCCTATGATTTGCTCCATAGTAAAGGGCCTTGCTGACAGAGAGGGTAACACCTCTTGCTCTGGCTTCCAAAGCACAAACATAAGTCTTTCTCTGGCTGAAACAGCTCCAACTTGTCTCACTGTTCACCTGAGACCAAGATCTGGCAAGGGGCTTTCACAGCACTGTAATTTCTCCTTCGTGTCCCAAAAGCAGCTACCCCCTCTTGGGTTTCTCTTCATATGAGGGACCTGCTGGGGCATGGGAAGGAAGGCATTTAGGGCATCTTGCTGCAGATTCAGAGATGGGGACTTGAGCCTTGTTTTGGAATCACACTGAAGGCCACCCCACATGACCAAGCTTGAAGTAGGTATCAGAAGAGTCTGAGGTAGCCAGACATGAGGGTAGCCACATTGCTCCCTTGTGTTTTGCTGGCTGCAGACAACTGTGCTATAGCCATGCTAGCCCAGTGGGCAGTTAAGTTCAGAAGGACCGCTGACCTTATGTTGTGCATCCACCAGCAGACCACAGCATTTTATGGAAAGTTCCTTCTGTGGCAGGAGCACTGGTGCAACAAATACCATGTTCAACCACAGTAGTGGTGAACAAGATGCAAGGCTGGGACTGTCTTCCCTAATTAACTCTTCAGTCATTCTCACTTCTAGGGAAAAACAGTTGAATACCGCAGCTTTCCTCAGGCAGCTGAAGATCAAGAATCGGAGGTAAACTGGCAGTGAGGAGCATTCCCTACTCCAGCCTTCATGCACTCTGGCTTTCCAAGCTCCAGTCCACCCCACTGTAGGTTCTTCATAAGGTCTGTACTTTTCCAATTGGGCATCCCACCATGTTAATGAGTAGATGGCCAAACACTTTCTGTACCTCTCCCCTCACCTAAAGACATGAGCTCATCATCCAGCAGGGAGATGGAGCTGGCTTGGTCAGGCACAGGGACTCCAGTGCCACCTGAGAGGGTGGGTAAGGCTGGGTAGGAGGGGCCCGTCACCACCATGTCCAGCCCAGACAGGTCCAGGAGTGCAGAGGTGCTCCCTGTAGGCAGGAAGAAGTGGTGGTGGTCAACAAAAAGCTTCGAAACCCCCATCCACCCCCTTTCTTCCTCTGTTGGGAACTGTGCCCATCTCTAAGCCCCACCTGGGTCATGTGGTGATCATGACTTATCCCCACCTGGGGGGGGGGTCACATAACCCCAGTGCCCATCTTTGCTCTCCCATTCCAAAGCAGCAGGACAATACTCAGCCCTTCTCTCTGCACAGGCTGTCTGCTAACCTCCTTCAGTACCAAGATCACACACTTCTGCTTCTCTGTTCAGGGTCTCCTCACCTCGCAAGGGGCTGACTGCCGCTTCTCCTGTGGTATATCCCCCTTAGGTTCCCTCCCTCTGGAGGTCTCCTCACCTTGGAGGGGGCCAGCCACAGTCTCTCCATTGATCTCCTCTCCTTTAACAAGCTGCTTGTACAGGTTAATCACCTGCGTCAAGTTGTCATTGGCTTGCAGGATTTCCGCTGAAAGAGGAGGTATGAGGGGACACTGTAGACAGCAGAGGTAGGTGCCTACTGACTGTTCAGCCACAGGCCCTGGATCCCCTTCTTGTTCCTTGTAGAGTCTGGACACTACATGTTTATACTGGAGTAATTAATGTAAATTACACCAGGATATGGGAGTAGACAAACGAACAGATAATCTCAGGGCACCTGCACACAGTAGGCTGCTATTATAGTAGCAGAGGAGGAGGTAACAGCTTGCATGCCTCGAGCAACAGTTAAACCAGGCTAGCTGTGGGCAGATGACATGTGGGTGTAGTTTTACCCCAATTAAATTCCC